GAGCTTCGTCACAACCTAGGAGAGAGAGCGAGAGAGAAATAGAGATGAGAGAGATTAATTTAATTTTGATTATAACCTAAGTTTAATATATAATTATTAGTTAATACCTGATTTTTGATTAAATAAAATTTACAATTTTACACCTGAATTTTGAATTTGAAAAATTAAATGGCTGATTTTTTGTAATTTTCAATTGAGTTTACCATTTAAATTGGGCGGGGTTGCGTGGGGGGCTGCGTGGGGCGGTTGGAAAATTTGAAAAGCTGTCAATCCTATGGAGACGGTAAGAGTAGCATTGTCCATCCCAAGAATGTCACCACTCTATCCCCGGTGAACCTCCCCCTCTTTAGTCCTTACCTGCACGTGCGAATTTTCAAAAAATTGAACATTTCAAAAGTCGAAACCCCACAATTCAAAAAGATTTCTTGGGCAGCAGGCGTCGAATCTCCAAAAGTAACATATACAAACACTTTAAAAATCCATCATAGAGTTAATTGGGTCCAGTTTGGAGCACCAGAGAAGAATACGGGTTAGGTCCGAACAGAAGATGGAGGGAGAGAGCTCGCAGCCATTGCACAGAGGAGTTAACAATACCGGGTCCAGTCCATCTGCATCGTCTATCCGGCTCCGGTCCAGACCAGACTCTTTCTTGATCCTCTGTCGATGCTTCAGCTTGATTACATCTCTGGCCGCGATTCTCTGCATTGCTGTCAATGTTCTCTCTGCCGTCCGATCTTTCAAGAACGGATCAGATGTAATTTTGAATTCCTTCGCTATGTCTCGATATTATTTGTTATGCTATCTAGGTAAGTCTAAGTTTGATTTGTTCTGTTTTAATTGGTGGAGATATTCGATGGAATATTCCGGTGTTACGCGGTGGTGATTGCAATGTTTGTGGTGGTGGCGGAGACTGAATGGGGGTTCATTATGAAGTTCTCGAAGGTTCGATTTTTGTTATCAACATTAATTTTCATCCTTTTTTTTTTATTGTTCAAACTTGGTATATTGAGCATGATTCTTGCATAATGAGCTATGCCTATGTAAAGCAAATTATTTATTGTTTCATGTGATACAGTATTTGTGCAAATACAATTGCAATATATCTCTCCCACATTGTGGAATGGCAATATATACCAAATAAAAAGTTAACCTTTACCTTCTAAGCTTAAAAAAGTTACTTATTTTGCCAATAGAACAAACTTTTCTAGAAACTAAATCCGAACTTACTTTATTGAGAAAAGTAACTTTTAAGCACAACAATACATGCTCCTTGAGTCTCAAGATCAAGACTTTTACTTTTTTCTTTATAATTTCCAGTTTTCAAATGGGATATGAATCACCAGTGATTCTGAAATTTGCAAAAATTATGTTGCCGCGGGGGTTGGGAAGGCTAGCTGATTTGGAATAACCTGTAATGTGTTAACTTCTCTTTCTTGCATTGTGTGCTTCTCTATAGTATGTATCGTTTTTTCCCCTTTTATAGAGAACAAAATAATCATTAGAAAAGCCAAGCGACATAGAATTTGAAAACTATAAAATAAGCAGGCTTCTGAGATCTTGATGCATAGAACTCATCAGATGACTTTAGACCCTTCAGAATAGTAAACATTTTTGTCCTATAATTGGCTCGCTATTAGTTAAATCATTTGTACAAACAGAAGAAGATTTAAATAAAAAAACTGCGTAGAAGCATATAGAGGTAGTTTGTCAGATGGGACATGCCATTGTACCTATAGACCCGGCATGCTCCACAATTTTTGTGCTTACCGGGCCAGCCTATCCAAGTCTAGGTGTTTTTTATTTTCTTTTTCTGGCATCCCACGTGGGCATTGGGCCTCATCTCCTATGCCCAAAGAGTCTACATACCATCCCAGTGTGCTGGGCAAAATGAGTATCGGACCATCTCGTGCCTGGTGCCCCTGCCTTTTTCACACCTCTGCCCTTCCCCTGCTCCCCATCCCTCCTCCTGTTACCCTATTTTACATTACCTTATACATGTGACATTTTGATGGAATTTTTGACGGAATTCGTTGTGGAGATCTGCTGGATGTAAAAATTGATGGTGGAGACCCCTTTGCAAAGAAATATTGAATGCATGCTCAATTAGCTACATAATAGGGACTGGATTTTACATAGCAAAATGAGAGAGAAATACCACAAAGAGGTATGCACATAAATGAAAAGAGATGAATGATATTAGACAGATTGTAGCATGGAAGAGAAAGGCAGTGAATTATGTAAGGAAAACTAGATGGGGACCTTCAGATCAGGCTTACCAGATATTGATATGAGAGAACAACATAAGATCCCTGGAATCATATATGGGCCAGGAGACGTTAAGAGATCACTCTACCTTGTTTTTAAATCAGTATAAAAGGCATAGAAGAACTGCATGTTACTATTACTGTATCTGTAATGCGTTGGAAAATTCATAATGGTTTTTGCACTGATATTTGTTTTGGCCCTTTTCATTTGCTACATTGTTCCAGCTTAAATTGTCTGCTTGAACTTCAAATAGCTTTTAATATCTGGATTTGAATCTTCATCACTATGTTGCAGGTCCTAGAGTATTGGGCTGGGAGGGGTATGCTCCAGATATTGTACGTTTGACTTCTAATTGAAAATTTGATAGAACTCACACCTGTGCCATCTTTCCATCTGTCTTCATTTGTTTACGAACTGATGGTTTTTAGTTAGAAATCGTATATATCTTACATGGGTTTTTTTCAGTGTTGCAGTGATGACCAGAGCTTACCCCGAGTACTTTGTGATGCATCAAGAGCTCTTTCTTCTTCAGAGCATAGCCAGCTACCTGCTTCTTGCATGTGGTGTGATTTATTTTATATCTGTGAGTTCATGAAATCATCATTATGGTAGACGATAATTTACTTCCAATCAGTGATAACGTATCTACTTGTTAATCATTTTCTGCAACTCAAAGTATCACCATTTTACATGTCAGTTGTTGTATAATTCTTTTCGTTAGGTGAATCTAAGTTGATTTTGTGCCATTTTCTACTGGTGGTATCACTTCTACTCTTGAATGATAACAATGTGATATTTTGTCTCATTTGAATAACTGTACCCATATTGATTTCAGATACCCTGTAAATTTCTTTCCGATACGTTATTTGTTATTTTTTAGGGAATATTATGCATTGGTGCTTTTAAGCGTGCTCGCCAGAAGAAAGAACTTTCTAGGGATCAAGCAATTAAGGATCTCCAGGTAACTATCATGTGGCAAAATAGCAAACATCGTTTCTACTGTATTGTCTAGTCACATAGTGTATCAACCTGCCCTTAGTGGAGATCAATTACTGAAAACATGCAGTATTGTTCATTTTAATTGATTCTAGTTCCCTCCCCAGTAAAAAATAGGAAGAAAGAAATATAGATTAATCATACTTTTTTGATCGGTTTCTGTTTTAGCTGATGCATGTTTTCTCCCCTTCGTCTGTGTTTTTGCACGATGTTTATCTTTCTATATCAATTATAGGATCTGGAGCGCCGTAAAGAAGAGCTCGAGTCACTGTTGATTGTAGAGAATGCTTGAATGAGTTTGGAGACTATAAACCCACAAGAACATACCATTGTTCAAACTAGACGAGCAAGACTTTCTGTTTGAATGATAATCTGTCACCTCTCTATTTGTATAATTGCATAATTTCTTGAACGCGATAAAATTTCACCATTTAATAGCTTACTGCAGATTGTTGTACAGTTACATGCTAACATCTGTAGTGCAAGTTTTGTTAACCTCATAAAACTGTTCTCCATTTTTTTTCGAGTTTGAAGGATCAATGAAAAACAGATTTTACACGTTCTCTGTGATTTTGTTTGATTGCCATTTGCTTTGCTAATTGTATTTGAAGCACCAAGCGCCAGGCCTAGTACAAATGCATTTCCATGAAATTTTAAGGTCATAAGCGTGTGGGATTATTTGGTTTTCTAGGTTATGCCGTTGATCAAATGATTCAAATTTATCCACAATAAACTTGAAATGCTTTGGTAAATCTAGGGTTAACTCCTTGCTGAGTCTGTGTTCAATATTGCTCACCAAATATACCATGATGGCTCCACATTTTAACCAGGTAATTCAAACCATGTATGACAACCCAAAGAGCCGTCACATTGATTTGAAAAAGAATCGGGACATGTTTGATACACTTGGGCAATAGATATAAAAGACATATTTGATACACAATTATCCCATACGATTTCATTATCTTTTTTAATAGTAATCAATATCACAGAGTCTACTTACTTAAGTATTGAGGACCGAAACAAGAATATGGAGCTTTAAATCTTCATGGTTTTAAAATCTTATTCAGCGCTTGTTTGACGGCTTTCTTTTGCTGGAAAACAATTTTTGTTTTTACAGTGAAAGTGGGTCATTGTGTGATTATTTGCAGTCTTATCACTGAGCCATCATGTGGAACAATTGACATTTTTCTGAATGCAAATTCATAAGATTCCCAAACTACCCACCAACTTTTGTTACAAATGCCGGAAAAAAAAAAAAAAAAAGACAATGTTGTAATTACGAATTGGTTCTTCGAGGGCATGAATGAAATAGTATTTTTCAATGGGTGTAAGTGCAGGACAACAAATTAAAGTCTGTCAGGTGGGCTGGTAAATTTCAATTAATATACCACCGTTCAATAAATTGAGAACATTTTAAAATGCCAAACAAATTAAGGCTGTCAAACAGGCGCTTATTTTCAACATTGACTAATAAAAAATAATTTAATGAGTAAACATTCTAAGCCAAATGTGCTCCCAAAGGAAAGAAAGTAAACATTACTTGAACAAGTTCCTGTAGGAGATATATAAACCTGTATGTATTACAATTTCAATGTGTATTAACAGCTATGTACCCAGACAACAAAACCTTGAGGTGGTAGAGAAGGAAGAGCAGTAAAATTACATTAACAAAATTTCCCTTGCTCCAGCAAAACCTATTCATGTTTTTGAAGGTTTCAAAATGAGTCTTAACCCTCTTCTTAGCCTTAAAACTAAAGAACTAGCCCGAGCTGTACATGATTCAAAAAAAATCTATCATAGGCAATTTGGAACGGCCTTCTGCAAAAACATCTGTTACAATATGGTTATTTCAGGCTGTTCTTCAGAATGAGACGAGCTTCTAGGTTTTTTTGCAGATTTATTTTGTTCTGTTGCCGATATAAATTGCTCCCGATTCATTCTGTGACTTCTCCTAGTGGTGGACTCAGCTTCTCGATAGTACGAGGCAGGAAATTTATCTCTGCAGGAAGGAGGATTCCTAGTGTTACTGATGTCTTGTCTCTCAGTTTCGTCCTCAGAATCCTCAACAACACATGCAGCAAGTTCCGCAAAGGACATGGAAGAGTACTCAAAGTTGTCCTCGTTTCCAGAATTGGATGCGACTTCTGGGACACGATCTTCCTCAGTCTGTTCATCAATTACGATTCGAAACGCACCACCAGAATTTCTTGAAGTTTCCAAGGAACACTTCGTCTCCACCACTCTCAGACTACTAGGTGAAGTCAGGAGGGTCAAAGATTTAGTGTCTTCATGGCTGTTTGCTTCGTCTTCCAGTGGGGCAACTTTCTCCTCTAATGTACCCTGTTTGGAATAAGAGGTCAAAATAGGATATAAAGCTCAGCCACAAAATACATTGTTAGCATTAGAAGCACGTATATAGTGCAATTAAACAAAGAAATCTTGTTGCAAAAATATTCATATAAACATTAATAATCTTCAATTCAAAGGCCTGCATATGTTTGCTGTAATCAGAAAGTGCAAAGGTTCAAAGATCCCACGTGAATGGAGAAATTTCGAAGTTCAAAGATTCCAGGTAAATAGTTGCAGCTGCTGATGTATCTGTTGCAATTTCAACTACTATGCCACAAGAGACCACTTTACCAGAGAGAGCGAGGAGAACACTGTTAGGAATGAGGCATTTTAGATCAACAAATTAAACAATGCGCTAATGGTCCAAGGTTTTTTCCATGCATTGAAAAGTAAATGCCAATTGCTCATAGAAAAATAACCTCAATTGGAAATGTGGGATTGGTGTACTGTTCGATTGACGCCATTTGAAGTATACTTTGACGCATAGAATCTCCATAAACAAACTTTGATCCTCCGAAAGTTTGCTGCCCCCTCATAATGGAACCTATTGATTCTCTTGATGGACCATTTTGGTTAGTAACAGATGGAGCATCTTTCTTGGCATTATCTCTCACAATTTTACAGATCAACTTTCGGATATGATCACGCTTTCTAAGAGACACCTCGTCAGGTGGGAACCAGTTCTTTTTTAGCTGCAGAGGCAAATAGACGTTGCCTAAATTATAATTTGACAAAAAACGCGAGAAGCATATATCCATCCTTTCTACTGTAATGACCATGGATAATTGAACATCAGATACATGAACAGTACTATAGAAATCCAGAAAACATATTGTAATATGGAAATCTAGCATGTTGGAACAATTAGCTTCCACTCTGAATAAAGCTACTCAGAATCAACTGCTCAGGGGTCACAATGGAAGAGGACTCTCCATGTGAGAACATACTGTTACTGCAATTCGCTAAAAGTTGGGCTTACAGAAGGGGAGAAACAAAAGTAGAAAGCTAAAACTACAAACTGTTCGAGTTGATGTATTGGGGAGATTAAAGGCCGTTCGGCAGGGCTTTTGAAAAGTCAAAAGTTGTTTCTGAGATTAAGAAGCTCTTTTTGGTCCTGTTTGAATTATTTTCTGAAAGTGCTTCGTCCAATTAGAAAAAATTTAAGAAAGCTGGCCAAAGGTCACTTCCTCATGAAGCTTTTCTACAAAACGTAGAAGCCTTGCCAAATGTGCCGTAACTAATATTCGAGGTCCAGGTTTCCAATGAGAAAATAACTTACAAAGTTTGGACATTCGTTTAGGGTTGTTAGGCTGAAGTTACTGGGAACCTGCTCTAGAAAAAGTTCTGCATAGTGAAGCAAGAAAAGGCCACAATCGAACAAGTTTTCCTGCTGTGGAAGCTGGAAAAACAAAGCAAAACCAAAAGACTAATATTAACAATAATGATCTGGATTAATGTCCTTGTGGAAAGGAGAAAGATGAAACACTTAAAATGATGAAAACATATAGCAGGGTGCATTCTTATATTCAGTAGTGGTAACTTAGTTTACATGCACCTTAGAACAGTTTGCAATCCGTATTACCAATAAATTGATGGCAAAAGGAAAAGTCAAAGAAAACTACCTGTCTAGATCTACTATGACAAGAAAGCTAAAGAACTATCTGCTGACATCATCTCCAAGATATACATTGTGTGTTAATTTGCAAAGATAACACTGTTGAGAGGGTAAAAGCTACATTTACATTTTCGTACTAGTTGATAATGTAGGAGTGAGTATCTATAAACTCTAAATTTTCTGACACAGTAATATTATAAACTTCTTCACATCCTCTTCCCTTATTCCATCTTATAATTTCTTCTTATTCTCTTCTTCAACATTCTTTAACGAAGGAAGAGAAAATATGAAAAATGTACAAATTAAAAATGATGATGAACAGCTCCTTTTACTCCTTTTTTCTTTATATTTGCTCCACCTTCTGTCTTCACTAAACCAGAAGAGTACTAATTGTAGAAGTATCTACCTTTTTCTCATCTACCACATTGAACTTCACTCTTCCACCCTTTTGGCTCAACTCCATTCCAAAAATATTGAAATGCAAGTTTGAAATATTCAGAACCTAATTCGAGTAAAATAAGACATAAGAAAACTAAGAGGTAAACATACCTCAAAGTGATTCACATTTAAATCGTGTGAATTCACATTTAGGGGAGAAAATCTGTACATTTATTATTCAATTTAGGAAATATAATTGCACAGGAAGAATACAAGCAATCTTATTCACTGAGTTTCTTTAAGTGGGCATATGAAATGCTTGCACTCCAGCACAATAATGAATTTATTGATAGTTACAGAGGTACACACACAGGCAAGAGAGGAAGAGAGAGAGAACCTCAAGTGCGACAAACTGCAAATTGAAGAACTTCGCTGAAATATCTTCTGCCAGTTCACAGTGTCTGTCTTTCCATTCTTCCCACAAGTAACTGATGTTTCATGACAAGAAAATTTTACATTATCCTGGTATCATAGGACTCAAATCATGCAAACGCACAAAGCAACACCCAGAAACAAACATTAATTGAAAAACAACATGAACCAAATACTTGCTACAAATGTCAAATAATATCAAATATAATATAATTTAAACAGCATTCACTTTAAGTAATTTCAGAAACGGTCAAAGTTTCCTCCCAAACCTAAACGAAAAAAAAAAACAAAAGATTTGAATGCCTTTTAAATCCCCCTCATGTCAGAAATTAGACGCATGGTTGCAACTTATCTTCTATTTAACAAAAACACCAACTTTTCTATCTGTTTGTATCTTGTAGTTTAACTTGGCATAGAAAATTATGTAGAAATTATGAACATATGGATTTTGCTTCCTTTTCCAATCTTGTTCTTGACATCAAACATAAAGCAACATGGAGGACCATTTAATTTTTTAACTTCAACTGACATAAATTGAACAACGGTAGTTGGGAAATAATAATCAAAGAGTTTATTTTAGGAGTGGCTAATAACTAAGACATTGTTGAAAGAAAATTGGTTGGAAGTTCAATTAGTAAGGAGAGGACATGTGAATTGAATGCAGTTTCTTAACCTCGCCATAAATGACTTACAAATTTATATAATTTATAACACAATAAATCTTATATCCATTGGGAAAAAGACATTTAACATGACCAGTTAGCAACTTTCACCGGCTCACAACCATCTCTAATAAATGTTCATGAAACTACGTTGACGCCAAAGGAATTCTGAAATGTGGTAATATAGCAGGCCTCCATTTGCCTTTAGTAAATACCGACTGGTTTTGAATATCAACTTTCAGCAGCTTACCCTCGAATGAGATTCTGCAGTCCACTATGGCTTCCTTTTATGGAATCCATATGTAAAATGCACGGTTTCTTATACAACTCGCCCATTTCTTCATCTGTAGAGGAGATGATTTTAGGTGCCGATGATAGCAGTGATTAAATAGCAAATACTGAAAAGAATGGCGCAAAGAGGTCATACCTCTTAAATTTTCCACTTCCCCAGGGTGACAGATGACAATCAAACTCCAATGAAGACTGTCAAATGTGGGGGGAAAATCTTAGAGAGGGCCAAAATAGGATTTATATATTTAAATGATTTCACTAATGGCTTATTACCTAGAGTTAACAGGAATAAATATAAAATCTTTTTCAAAAATGTCTACATTCCTTGTCCATTTACGAACACGTTGAAAAGCTTCTCTGCCTTCCCAGGTTCGAGATGAACCTCGATCCAGACAAGCCAGCTTCTGAAAGAAGAAAGTGTTGAAAAAATAGAACCTATGCTGCTCCTCTGGATTGGTTTTGTTCGCAAGATATCTGCCAATTAGTTTCCTTTACGGGTTAATCATCTACAACGTCCAAATAAATGATAAACAGGATAAGTTACAATCACTATTCTATACGAACATGCAGTGACAGTATAAGTTTCCAGAACATTTCAATAAAAATAGGCACTGAAATATCTACTAAAGTATTCCTTTTGGTTACATAATTCAGAAAGCAACCCCAGATAAACCTGATACTGGTAAGCTAGACCCTTGTATCATAAACAAACCATCCAAAATAGGAAAATCATCAATATAACTGCTTATCAAGGTCTTACTTAATATAGAAGTCAATGATAGTATCATTGATGAATGTCTTTGGCCGCAAAACCTCAAGATCTCTACTGCATATGGAGATAGCATCCGGATCCCTATCTGGATATATTAGGTCTTCAAAGGGCTCGATGGAACTATATTCGCTGAAATTCAAGCAACAAATGTCATCCAAGTAGTAAAATTTTGACATGAAAGAAAGTAGGGCTCCTGGACCTTATTCGGAAAGAGTTGACATTGCATTCAATCATGTGCTAAAAGGTTAACAATATCATCTTATTAATAAATTGAGAAAGAGAAGAAAAATCAGACCAGGTCACAGAAAGAACAAAAATAAGAGAAAATGAAGAAAGTAGGTACATCAAATCCGTAGAATACAATAGAGGGGTTGTTTGACAAAACTTTTGATAAAAGTTTTAGCAGATTTTGATAAAAGTTGATGAAATGTATGATTGAAAAGTTGATAGAATTTGTGGGTCCCATGAAATCTAAGGTTAAAAAGAAGTTTGATCAGTTGAAAAGTTCATAAAATTTTAGTAAGGTTTTATCAAATAAGCACAGAATGAACTTGTGTTCATCCAACAAGGATGAAAAAAATACAGAATTAGAAGATCTATAAAAGTAGAGCTAGTTAACATGTGCAATTGTATCATATTTTGAATGCTCTGTTAAGGAAAACTGGGCAGCTATAGACACGTGAAGTATAGGCAAGGATAATGAAGAAAAGAAATATCCCACTAGATCAAGGCACCATAATTTATGCTATAGTTACTTGATACTCTACACATTCATAATTATTGTGGTCATGCACATGCACAAGCCTATGGAGAAAGACATAAAAAAAACCACGACCAAATCCCCAAACTTATGAATGATTTCTAGTGCACCACTGTGCTGTTAGTTCTCCTTATTCAATATGGGATGACAGGTCTTTCTTCAAATGCAAGAAAATGGTCTGAGAAAGCTTGACGAGGAATAGTATCATCCCAGAAAATCCACAAAAAACGACATTTCCTTTTCATTGTCACTTTGGAAAAAATGTTATTCCAGCGAAAGAAATCATCTAGAATACTGATTAAACTATCACGGAAAATGATAGGTTAGAAAATTAGGACTTTTACTCTTTAATATGCCTGAGTAATTAATAAATTAGACACTGAAGGAAATTGAAAAAGTATGGTTCAGAGCAACAAATTGGAAAAGAACATAAGAGAACAGATAAAATGGTAAGATTCAGCACAAATCACACACAACAAAGTAAAGTATTCATGCGAAAGATGATGCAACAGTTTCTTTGATGAGTTTCCCATATTTACCCAACAAACAATAACTCAACAAGATAAGAAGAACTAGGAAGGAAAAATGTACACACTAATGCATGAGTACCAACCTTTCAACGGTGCTCCAGGAGGTTTTATAGATCATATCCAAGGATTTAATTTCTTCTAGTTTTTCAGACCAATGAGTGTCATTAGAAACTACAAACTCCAACTTCACTGTGCCTGCACTCCATAAAATAAATTTAGATGTCAATCAGTGGAAACCAACTTATTGCATAAGGAATTCCCATCTTTCAGGATAGAAAAATGACTCAAGACGCATACTTCAAGAAATAATGAGGAAATATGAAGAACAGGAAAGACAGAAAAATAAAGCAAGGGTAATATCAAACGATTTTAATTTTTAAGCCAACATGACTTTTGTGATAAGCAAGCAAGCAACAATTATAAATTTTCATCCATTCAGAGTGGCAAATGAGAACTGACTGTGTTGTATAGAACCAGAAAACATCATTAAGGCAGGCATTCAGCTGTAATTCACAAACCTGCAGTTTTATTAGAAATTTCAGCTGTGTTTCCTTCATTGCATGTTAAGTTAAATGTCACAACAGCCACTTTAACCTACAATATTAGAGCACAAAACTTAAAATTTGGGATGAAAATCCGTTGTGTAAGGCAAATTTCAGGGAAGTTAGCCATACTCACACTTTCACAAAATTCATGTTCGATGTTCACAATATTAGAAATCGGCCATTCATGGCAACAATGTCCCTTCGTCTTCCATGGGGGTGAACCCTCCAGTTTGACGGATCTGCAAGAAAATGTCAACGAACACTTTGTATAATATGTATTCCCAAATTTAACATAACTGGGAGTGACAACCACCATTTTTTCCTGCATATCAAAACCAAAAAAATAAGGGCAAAAAATAAATATCTTCATAAGAGCAAACAAAGATCTGAATGCAAGGAAATAAAGTTGCATTCTAATAACGCTTTCCTATAGGTTAACTAAAAGTCATATGAATAGTATGGTGAATGATTGAAAAATTGGAAAAGGCCCTAGATTTGAGTTAAATTGCATTAAAATGGAGATAGGAATAAAATGATAATTTCCCAGAGCATCCAAATCTTTACAGTTTAGTTTTATTGACAAGTAATGGAGTGGTAACATGCGTACAATATCACTTGTGTCGATGCCATACTCAAATGGTTGTTCTTCTAATGAACCTGAAACATAGCAAAATATCTGCAATTCTTAAGAGTTTTCAGGAATTAAAGAAATCTAAGGAATGTTGTGCACTGGAAATGACATCTGAAAAAAGATAGAAAAAAAAACCTTCATTTTCTGCTGGGTCAATGGAAGAAGACGATCTTAATCCAATTCTTTGATCATCATCAGAATCTACATCAAGTACCTTAACCTGCAGGAACACGTAAAACTGATCAATTATGAATATTTAAAGGTCTATGATTTCTTGCAAAAAGATCAAACTAAGAAAGCAGGTACATCAGGTAAACTTTGAAGTAGAGTACTGTTGGAGCAAGTATGCTTCTTATCAGTTAAGCTGTCTCCAGGTTGTCTGGCTCTTGGTGAACAGGATTTTGCACCATGAGAATAACATTTGAAATCAAGTTGATCTGGAGAAGTAGCCGATAATATATAGTCTGAAGAGCTAGATGATAGAGAACCATCCAATTGAATGCCTCTGTCGTCTGAAAGATTGTCATCAACATCGATGACTAAGAACTCATTTCCATAATCATTTTGTTGAGTCTTGGAACCTTTTGCAACTACAAAAATAAATTTTTAAGATAAGAAATTAGAGTTATAGGCCAACATGATCATTTAAGTTCATGATTCAACAAAATAGATCATATAAGTTTGAAGGAAAAAAAAAAAGCATTTCTCCAAAATCTTAACTTTTTGAAGAGCTTAAAAAGATAGGTTCATATTTATTTGTACAAGTGTTCTACAAATCTTCTAAGGGCCATGCAAATCTTTCTAATTCCTCAGCCTTATTTAATTCTAGGTCTTTATGAGAAAAAGAAGGAAAACCCAAGAAACAACATTTTTTTTTTGATAAGTAATCATCAGTGGCCTTGAGGGGACTCGAACTATGTTTTCATTTATTATATTGTTCAAAAGTTCTATTTTAGCCATCCTATAAAAATTTAGAAAATCCCGGCATACGACAAGACAATGGAAGATCAACCTCAACTCCACTTGTCTTCCTTCAAAAGTCCGTGCCTCCTATTCCTTATAATATCGAATGTAAACGAATAGCATATCGGTCACCGACAATTAGTATTCACAAAAATTTCCATGTCTAGATTAATGGGTGATATTTTTTAACATTTTTCTATTTAGAATTCATGAATATTACATAATCACCTCAAGAAATGAAAAATCGAGAAAAACAAAATATTTGAAAAATAGAAGTTGCCGATCAATACAACAACAAAAACATTACTCATAATGTCGCGATACATAAGATCTAAAACCCTACATATTACCAGCCTCAAACTCAGATAACCTCGTTATTATTTTTCAATCCTCGTTATATTGATAAAAATCCAGTACATACTATTGTATCAAACACTGCACCATAAGTATTAAATGCTCCATTCCTAAATATATAATGTCATATATCAGAAGATGTACAACCCTAAACACACACACACACCCCCATACATACACACATAAAAAAGGGGGGCTAGAAACTTACAGCACGTGAGAAAATTATACTTATCATTGGTATTACTATTGAATTTTGCCATAAGTCTCTCAGCGTGGGCCTCGGTACTCTCATCTTCGTTCGTGAAATCGAAAACTGAGAATTTATTGTTCATTGTAGTGCCGCTGCCATTGCTGCTACTTTCCATAGTAGAATTCCTTTTTGATTTTCTTCTTTTCGTCATCGTGATTTTGGAGGGGGAAAAAGGATTTCTGTAAAGTAACAAAGATTTAAAAAGTGGATTTGATTTGGAGATTACTGACGAATTTTTCAGTTTATCAGGATCAAGATGAAGGTTCTTCCCACGCAAGCTTACAATAAACAAAAACGAAAAATAAAAACTAATCATGAAGTAAAATCTGATTTTAATCAACTATTAAAAAATTTACAGATGGGGTCCCCAACTATTAAAAATGTAGCATGTCCCAACCTGATATTTTGGGAACCTGAATGCCCAACCTTTTGTTTTGTAACATTTGAGCCCTCGATTGAAAATTTTACCCATCATTTTCTGTAATTAAAACTCATCTTTAGGTATAGCGTCGCATTGAAACAAACGATAAAAAAATTGTTGGAAAATGGTTTTAATACTAGTGAAATGGGTCAACTTTGAGTCCAAATTGCAGTGAGATCCGTGCTTTAATTTCAATCGGACCTAGCATATTCATGTTCTACTCCTCAAAAGGATTAACGTGATATATTTATTTGTCGAAAACTATTTAGTATTGAATGAAATATTTAATGTCAAAGTAACCCGCTTGAAACACGAATTTGATTTATTAGAAAATTTTTATACACTTGTCCCATATAGGAAAATTATGAAGTTTTGATGTGGTTTATATAGTGTAAGGTTGGGAATTGGGTTTGGGCTCCAAGGGGTACCAATAGTCCTTAAAAGGGGGAGACTTATATCTTATAGGATTCGGTCCAAACCCGACACGCGCGCGCCACCACCGCTCTCCGTCCGACCGGTTGGTTCGGCTCGACTCGAAGTATCTAAAATAAGAAAGAACGTGAAAAATAAAATAAAATAAAATATAAAACCTAACTAGTGTTGCTCCCCACGCTTGTTTAAGCCCCACTTTTTTTTTTTTTATAAAATGTATTTTGAAATAATAGATCGATAAAGAATGTGGTTAAAAAATAAGGAAGAATTTTGAATTTATGTTTAATATTATTTTATTAAAATGTCTAGTTGAAAAGAAGAGAGAAAAATGTATTTTGAAAAAAATGAGGATCAAACAAGAATTAAAGAAAAAGTCTCGATTTGAACTCCATTTTTTCAAAACTCATTTTTAATTATATATTTTTCCAACAAATAATGTTATATGTAGAATAAATTTTTTTTCTTCTTATTTTCTAACCATATATTTTCGAAAAATATTATTTCAATATATATTTTTCCTCAAGATTTCATTTGAATAGAGCCCAAAAGGGGGCAAAATTATAAATATATTTTTAAATAATAAGAATATATTGAGGTTTTCATCAAATGTAAAGAGTAAAATTTGCACTAGGGACTCAAATAGCCAAACTACAGATTTAGGACAAACTTGAAACATTTCCAATAGAATAGAGACCTAGGTGTAATTTTCTTTTTGAAAAAATAAAGTTTGTTGCCAAATTTAGCCCCTGCCTGTTTGACAACCATTTCAAAACCTCTCTCTCTCTCTCTCTCTCTCTCATGACCATGTTGTGATGACGAACACACTTGGCTCCTGATGGTAGGTATTAAATTTAAATTTAATCAATTAAAGTTAATAATTAATTTTAATAATATATTTTATTTAATTCACAATTTTTCAATTATACATTTCATCAAATTTTATTAAAATATATTAAAAATTTGATTTTAATCTTCATTAAACGAGGGCTTAAGCACTTGTTGTGTAAATTAAAAGTTGATGAAAATTTCAAATCAAGATAAAGAATTAATTTTAATCGCAAATTTTATGAAATTCATAACTTTCAATCACATATTTCATCAAATTTTATTAAAATTTATTAAAAAATTTGATTTTTAATGTACATTAAATCGAGGTTAAATTTTCCAGAAATGCAAATATTTGTTTGTTCGAATTCCCCAAGGTGGCATTGTATAATTTATGTACTTTTTTTTAAGATACAAATTCTTTAAAACTCATTTTGGTACAAACAAGTGTTTGTTTAAGAATAAACGATGAAATTTAGCTTTGAAATTCGATTACAAGTCCTCTCGTTGTCCATATCGGAGCATAGCTCAACTCAGGACTGATCAATGTCATTCTTGAACTCCCTGAGCATGGGCTATTCTCACAATAAAAAATATCAGTATTAATTACAACACCAAATTAAAAAATAAATATGTTGTCGTAAATTAGAGATAACAAAAAAATTCGTTCAATCTGATATCCGCGAATCCCACTCCGAATGGGGCGAATATTACCCACCTAATCAAATAAATGGGACATGAGTCATTGTCCCGAAATGGGTACGGGAAACATGGTCTCCGCGCTTGCTTAAAATTAATTTTAAACTTAAGTTTTTTATCAAATAAAAAGAAAAGATTTTTTTATCATTTTTTAAGAAAACGTGATTTGTTCTTAACAAAACGGAAAAAAAAGTAATAATATTTATTGACTATAGATATAAAAAAAATAATAAAAAAAGGGTGCCCGTCCCACTTTAACCCGGTATGAGGGCGAGACATGATAACAAAAATACCAGATGAAGTGGGGGTCAGTTTCATACCCATTTCGTTATCATTCCTTTCGTAAATAATATTTATGAGAGATTAGTGCTTGTCATGTAAAAATCGCAATAAATAAGTTAGGACGGAACGCGCCACGTCCGCCTTATTGTCGAATGAATCCCACTGCTTACGTATTGCTTGGATTGTCCATAACAGTTGTCTTTTCTTGTGAATGTAGCAATTTCCTTATTGTCAAGAATAGATATTACTACCTTCCATTTTGAAATTCAAATGTATGGAGCATATGTACACGTGGCTATTAGATGGTTAGGAAATGAATTGGCTGATACAAAATTGGAAGGAAAAACATTTAGAAGTTGAACTAACACAACCTTCTTCCAACCTACCCAGCCAAATTTTGTGTCGCCTCTCCACATCTCACATCTATATAAACTCATGCATATAGTTTCATGTATTGATCAGATTAAGATTGAAACAATTTGCAACCAAAAGTGTTCTTGAGTCGCTTTGTTTTTTGTTAGAACAATGGCTTGTAATAAGCACACCCCTTTTTTCTTGTTATTGTCGATAACTTTACTATCTATATTTGGAAACACAATTCAAGTCGAAGCGCGGCGTCTTTTGGAGACCTCGCCCGAGGTTCCTACACTTCCGAAGTCGGAGCTTCCACCAAAACCTGAAGTGCCTATATTGCCTAAACCAGAGGTTCCAACGTTGCCAAAGCCCGAGCTTCCACCGAAACCGGAGTTGCCAACGATTCCAAAGCTAGAGTTCCCACCAAAGCCTGAATTGCCCAAGCCCGAGTTGCCCACAGTGCCAAAATTCGAGGTGCCAACATTGCCAAAGCCAGAGCTCCCAGCAAAACCTGAATTACCTAAGCCGGAGTTGTCCACAATGCCAAAACTTGAGGAGTCAAAACCCGAGGTGCCAAAGTTGCCAAATTCGGAGCTCCCACCACCTGAATTGCCTAAACCCGAGTTGCCCACAGTGCCAAAACCTGAGGTGCCAACATTGCCAAAACCAGAGTTCCCACCTAAGCTTGAATTGCCAAAGCCTGAGTTGCCCACAATTCCAAAACTTGAGGTACCAACATTGCCAAAGCCAGAGGTCCCAGGAAAACCTGAATTGCATAAGCCGGAGTTGCCCACAATGCCAAAACTTGAGATGTCAAAACCCGAGGTGCTGCCACCAAAACCTGAGATGCCAACCTCGCCAAAGCCAGAGCTCCCACCAAAACCTGAATTGCCTAAACCCGAGTTGCCCACAGTTCCAAAACCCGAGGTGCCAACATTGCCAAAGTCAGAGCTCCCACCTAAGCCCGAGTTGCCCACAATGCCAAAGCCTGAGGTACCAACATTGCCAAAGCCAGAGCTCCCAGCAAAACCTGAATTGTCTAAGCCGGAGTTGCCTACAATGCCGAAACTTGAGGTGTCGAAACCTGAGGTGCCAACGTTGCCAAAACCCGAATTGCCAAAGCCAGAGCTTCCACCAAAACCCGAGTTGCCTCCTCTGCCTAAGCCAGAGTTACCAACATTACCAAAACCTGAGCTGCCAACAATTCCAAAGCCTGAAATGCCAACTTTGCCAAAACTTGAAGTACCCAAACTACCTGAGCTTCCTAAACCCACACTGCCAGAAGTACCAAAATCCCCATAAACTACAAATTTCTATAAACTATAAAGTAATTCATAGTTGGATTTCATACAATTATATTGATGGATTTGTTTAGGATTCATCATTTCATCCCATCATCTTCTAGGATGATTTCATCATGTTATAGTCATAGTTGTGTTGTTGTTTTGTCATCATTTACTATCTTGTATTTGTTATTCATGAGTTAGAGATGGCCTACGTTTGAGTGTCATTTATACATTTATGATTTATATATGCTTTTGTTTCATATATTTCATTCGAGTTTTTAGTTTACATTATACCAATCAATTTCGTTATTTTTTCAATATTCAGTACAATCAAGATTAACGAATTTTTAAAAGGTAAATTATCAATGTATGTGACCTTCGCAGGTAGGTTAGCATGTCAACACATGTAACTGAACTTGCTATGTGACTATGATATATTAAGATTGATTTTCCCCCTCACGTCTATGAAAGTGCGTGTATGAAAAAGTTCATCTTTGATTGAAATAGTAAGATCGTTCGTTTAAATTTGATTATGTTAAGTGTAAGCCAGAGTTGTTCATCAAACTTAGATTATAATTTACTTTGGGGCTTAAAATCATCCAAAAATGTCATATATGCTCACCTTTTTGTTTCCCCAATTTCATTCTAGTCAAGAAACATGATTGAAAATTCTCTGTACACTCAAGATTTATGAGTCTTCAAAACATGATTATCAATGTATGGGACTTTGACGTGTAGGTTAGTGTGTCAACACATGTAATTGAACTTGTTACGTGACTATAATATATAAAGATTGATTTCGCTCCTCACGTCTAT